AGAAAGAAAGTCCAAATCTGTTTAAAATCTTATTACAATATATTCTAGTCTTCAAATCCTTAAGGCATCTGCTCCAACAAAGTCTTAGCATACAAATATTTTCTTTTTAATCCTCTCTCTTCCCACTCATCGCTTAAAACCAATTTCCACCTAAAAAAATAGGTTTCTTAATATCCAGTTATTTATTCTGTAGGAAAAGAGGGAAAGCTATCCTTTCAGCACCTTCAAACAGCCGCTTTTTTCCTCTTCTGGCAGGTATTATTCAGAAAGTCATACTTTTCAGGAGTTTTATTAAATATGTCTTAGAGTCCTAGGAGCCAAGAAAAACTTTCTCCTCTCAATCACTTTCTCCACTTCCTCCTGCGCATTCTTACCCGGCTGCCAGCTTCTTTGTGGCGGCCATTACGGACCGCCGCTGCACCGTCCTGGGAAAAGGGGGTTCTGCCGGCCAGGGAGGGGGTCTGCAACACCCCCAGTCCCTTCTCCGGATCCCCCCTACCTTCAGCTGCCCCTGCAGGGCAGCCTAGCTCCGTACCCGTGTGGGTCGGAGCCCCAAAAACGGCTAGCGCGGCAGGGATCGCGCAGCTTCGCAAATCCCTGCCGCTCGCGAAGCCGACAAACCGGAAGTCACTGTTTCCAAGATATTGTTGCCCCCAATTTGGGTCTGAACCTGGTGCCAAAGCCAATGATGGATACCAGACACGAGGTGCAGGTTTTCTGATTGCTTTTTACTGGAGTACTCCAAGGAAAAGGGCTCCTGGTCAAAATGCCAAGAGCCAAGAACAAAGGATTGAGTAAGTTTTATACATTTTCATTAAAGGAGAAGGTGGGACAAAGCAAGATAATAAGAAATATCATCTAATAAACATTTTAGTAATAATTCTACAATTTGTTCTATTGGTCTCTAGTTGTCCCTATTCCCAAGTCTTGGCTAATGAATGCCCTAGGAATTATCTAATACACATTTGATTTGCTGCAGGCCTAACTCTTAGCTGAGGCCTTCAAGTTGGCTAACTCGTGTTACTTTTATCAGCTTTCCAATTAGCCAGGATTGTTACAAGATTTACACATGCACATCTCCTGTGGATAAGCATTCTTTGTTCTTGCCAGACAGACTCCACAATTACAGGCTTCTTGATTTACTTTCTCTGCATGACCTTGCTTTATTTTAGGAGACAGCCAATCAGTATGAAGAGGCTAAGTAGCAGCCAGGTTGTCAGCATCCCAAATAACCAACTCCAAACCAGTAAACTCAGAGATAAACATTTCCTCAAAGTTCCATTTTATTAGAGTTGTCCTATTGGCACTTCTGGGAAATCCCAAATCTGAGAGATCCAGGTTTTCCCTTCCCAAAAGAAAATCAAAGATCCATCCACAGCATCCATCAGTCCATCACAGGTCCCAATCAAATCTTCGTCCCAACTGGAGACATCCCTCCAGTCACTCCCCTCCAGGTGCAGGGAAACATGTCCTTGACTCTCTGAGAAAGAATGTTATGTCTAATCTTCTACCTCACTATGAAATCCCCACTCCCAAATTCCCAGGCACTAAATGTGGCAGCCTTGAAACTTCCAAGCAAAAGATGGCTTCCAAGGCTGATACAGGTGTTGCTAATCAAGTGCCCTTGACCAATTGGTCATCAGCAAGTATGACTACCTTTATAAAAACTGGAGTTTTAGAAGTTTGCTGGTCTCCAGCACTGAGTTGTGTGTTAATGGAACCAGAACGAGACAACTAGGCATGGCCATCTTGGCTCAGCCATCTTGGCATGGCTTATTATCACCAAGTTGCCTCTGCCAATTCATCACCATCAAGTCACTGCAGGACAACTCAACACAGCCAATTTAGTATGTGGTCAACTCACCCCAGGCAGCTGGAGGGAGAGCTGGGTGGATGGGTGAGTAGGTGGGCAAAATACAGAGTGATGGCAGCATCAGCCAGGAGCTTCCCATTTTCACAACCCCCCTCCTGCTACTGCTACTGTTTGGCAGCTGCATTCAGGCCTCTCGGGGATGATGACAGTGGGTAGGGTGGTGGCAGGGAGGCAGCAGAGAGTGTGGTATCCCATTTTCACACACCCCATCACCGCAGCACTGAACTTGAGCAGCTGAACTCAGCTTGATGGTGGCAGAAGGTTTGAAATGGGATGCACCAGCCTCTGCCACCTCCCTGCTTCCCACCCCACCCACCACAGCAATCCTCAAATGGCCCAAACACTACTGCTGCCAAATGGCCCACACCAGCAGTGGCAGTGGGGTGTGTGAAAATGGGAAAACCCCGAATGCTGTCACTGCTCTATGCTCTGCCCACCCACTTGCTCGACTGCCTGGCTCTCTCCAGCTGCTTGCAGCAAATTGGCCACGTTGAGTTGTCCTACAATGACTTGTCGGCAGTGAGTTAGCAGAAGCGACTTGGCAATGGTTAGCCGGCAACACTAAGCTGGCTGCGTTATGGCTGCACAGTGTTGTCCTACTTAGACCCAAACATTATGCCAAAGAGCATTGATCTTTGAAAAGCAATTATTGCTCTCCATCAATTTGGGAAGGGTTATACGGCCATCTCCAAACAATTTAAAATCCATAATTCTACAGTGAGGAAGGTTATTCATAAGTGGAAAATATTCAAGTCAATTGCCAATCTTCCAAGGAATGGATATCAGAGCAAATTCACCCAAAGATCAGACCATGCAATGCTTAGAGTAATTAGAATTAGAATTCTTTTATTGGCCAAGTGTGATTGGACACACAAGGAATTTGTCTTGGTGCAAATGCTCTCTGTATACATAAAAGAAAAGATACATTCATCAAGAGTCAAGAATCATAAGGTACAACACTTAATAATAGTAATGGGGTACAATAAGCAATCAAATCATACTAGGAAACAGTCCCTATAAATTGTAAGGATACAAGAGACAAAGTTACAGTCATACAGTCACAAGTGGGAGGGGAAGGGTGATAAGGAATGATGAGAAAATTAATAGTAATAGTAGTGCAGACTGTGTAAATAGTTGGACAGTGTTGAGGGAATTATTTGTTTAGCAAAGTGAGGAAAAACTGTTCCTGTGTCTAGTTGTTCTGGTGTGCAGTGCTCTATAGTGTCATTTTGAGGGAAGGAATTGAAACAGGTTATGTCCGGATGTGAGGGGTCTGTAAATATTTTCACAGCCCTCTTTTTGACTCTTCATTATACAGGTACTCAATGAAAGGCAGGTTGGTAGTAATTGTTTTTTCTGCAGTCCTAATTATTCTCTGAAGTCTGTGTCTGTCTTGTTGGGCTGCAGAACCAAACCAGATAGTTATAGAGGTGCAGATGACAGACTCAATAATTCCTCTGTATCAGCAGCTCATTGGACAGTTTGAGCTTTCTGAGTTGGTGCAGAAAGAACGTGCTTTGTTGTACTTTTTGATGACATTTTTGATGTTAGGTATCCATTTTAGGTCTTGTGATATGATGGAACCTAGAAAGTTGAAGGTCTCTACTGTTGATACTGTGTTGTCCAGTATTGTAAGAGGTGGTAGTATGGGAGGGTTTCTCCTAAAGTCTACCACCATTTCTACGGTTTTGAGTGTGTTCAGTTCCAGATTGTTCCGGTCACACCATGGGGCAAGTTGTACAACCTCTCATCTGTATGCGGATTCGTCTTTATCTCGAATGAAACCAATCATTGTTGTATAATTTGCAAATTTCAGTATTTTAACGGATGGATCATTTGAGATGCAGTCATTGGTATATAGGGAGAAGAGAAGTGGAGAAAAGACACAGCCTTGGGGTGGGGGCTGTGCTAATTGTACAGGTATCAGATGTGATTCTGCCTAGCTTCTGCTGACTGCTTCTCCTGCCTGCTGCTTCCTGTCTGTTAGGAAGCTTATGATCCACTTACAAGTGTGTTCAGGTACCGCTAGCTGGTTTAGTTTAGTTAGAAGAATGTCTGGAATGATAGTATTGAATGCTGAACTGAAGTCTATAAAGAGGACCCTTGCATAGGTCTTTGGTGATTCAAGGTGTTGGAGGATGTAATGCAGAGCCATGTTAACAGCATCATCTGTCGGTGTATTTGCTTGGTATGCAAACTGCATGGGATCTAACAGCGGATCCATGATGGTTTTCAGGTGGGACAGTACTAGCCTTTCAAAGGTTTTCATAACTACAGATGTTAGAGCAACTGGTCTGTAGTCATTCAGCTCCTTAATGGAGGGCTTCTTTGGCACTGGGATGATAGTAGAGCATTTGAAGCAAGAAGGAATATAGCACATCTCTAGTGATTTATTGAAGATTCGGATGAAGATGGGGGCCAATTGGTCAGCACAGACTTTGAAGCAAGAAGGAGTTATCTGTCTGATCCTGGTGCTTTTCCTGGCTTTTGTCTGTGAAATAGATCTTGCACTTCTTTTTCTGTGATCACCAGAGGTTGTGAACCCAATGGGTTGGCGTCCGTTGTAGGAGGCTTGGTTGTTGTTGTTGTGTTTGAGATGGGGGTTGTGAGATAGGTGGCTGTAGTTTCCTTTCAAACCTGCAGTAAAACACATAAAACTTCTCAGTATAAAATTTCTCGGTATATCCTGTAGTCCTGGGAAACCATGGCGGGGGGGGGGGAGGTTTCCCAGCCACATAAGACTGACCCTTCTTAGCTTTTCCAATCTCAGCCAAAATCAAGTTTGTATTGCCACTTGCTCTGTTGAAAGACCCTCTTCATGAAAGATAACATTCAGAATAACAAAATAACAGAATTGGAAGGGACCTTAGAGGTCTTCTAGTCCAACCCAAAATTCTGCACAAGCAGAAGACCATATACCATTCTGGACAATGACTGTTCAATCTCTTCTTTAAAATCTCTAGTGATGGAGAATCCACAACTTCATAGTTTATTTTAGTTCACAACATAAATTAACACACTTTGTATTTAGTTTTTCCTTATAATTGAGGGTAAGTTATGCTTTTGGTGTTTTTTCTTATTCCATAAAGATACCAATTACATTTATTATATTTCTTTTCTTTCCAAGGAATTACTACTGTGTTGACCATGACAACTTTGAGCATCAGTGCCAGGCATTCCTTACCTAAAGTCTCCTATGCCACAGCCATGGATTGGTTCATAGCTGTATGCTTTGCCTTTGTATTCTCTGCATTGATTGAATTTGCGGCTGTCAACTATTTTACGAACATTCAGATAGAAAAAGCCAAAAGGAAGGGAGTGAAATCCATCCCCGAATGTTCAGCAGCACCTGTTCAGAAGGAAATTTGTACAGAGGAGACATCCACGGTAATACCCATTGCTAGCAAAATGACCCCTAATAGCATGCTGAAAGATATTTGAAGAGATTGGTTGAGCATTTGGTGTGGCTCTTATTCTTAGGTGGATATTTCAAACATCAGGGGCTGAGTTAAACAGTCGTTGAAGGGTCTGTGAGTTGTTGAGTGGCTTGGGGAAGTTTTGTATGTCTATTTGAGGCATTTAAAACAATTTTCATCTGTTTCCTGGTTAAAGATGGGAGAAAGTTGTGATATCAGTGTCCAGCAGTCATGGTGAGAGGTATTCTGAGTAATACCAGAGAGGATTTTGTGCCCTTGGATCCATAGGCTGCTGACTCCAGCTTCTCTCTCTCTCGTGTTCTGGTATTTTATTTGTATTTCTAAGAATGGCCAACTTCTTGATGACACTGGACAGTATGCAGAAATTGAAATCAAAGATGCAAGCATCAAACAGGACAAAAAAGATGATTCCAGTGGGAAAATATTCACTTAAAAACCCTATAAAAACCCCTTCCAGAGGCGGCCCACATCCCAGTCTAGTCTGAGCTCCAGAAAAAGTTTGAGCTGTTCAAGACTCATGTATATGGGACCAGAGTTAGGGCCATTTGAATCTTAGGGTGCTGGGAAGACAAGAAAATCCTACCTTTGAATGGCCTTGCATAATGGTTCAGATCCAGATCTCTGTATTATCCTACAGGATGGGCAATAACAGCATGAGAGAGACAGTTGCAGAAATAATTAGAGCATGTGCCATTTGCCGTATATAACTAGCATCTTCAATTGTGCACAGAAGCTTCCTGATAATCACTGCAGCTTTGGTAACAGAGGTGTACTCTGGTAGTAGCCCCACAATTCTCATGCTGCTGCATTCTGGATCAGCTAAACTTGAAACAGCCTTCAAGGGCAACCCATATAATGCACATTGCATTAATCTGCATGAAAGTTGACCAAGGAATGAGTGATCATGAGAAAGATCTAGTACAATTGATCCACAAGATAATATGACCACAGATGCTACCAATGTTTTGAGCCACAGCTTAATGTTCAGGTCAATTTTCAATTTACGCACCAGTTTTATCTGGGGAGGGACAATCTCATTCAGAACTAAAGATGGAGAGACCTGGACCCAGTTGTGACATCTCTGGTAAGTAATGTATAGAAACATGGGTGGGCACCTTAAACATAAGCTGGAGTTTCAAATCTCCTCTGTTGAATCTACCCAATTTAGCCTCAGATGTAGCTGCTGAGCACACCTATTTTTCACTGGGTGCTACCCAGTGGTGGGATTCAAATTTTTCTACTACCAGTTCTGTGGGTGTGGCTTGGTGGGCGTGGCAGGAGAAAGATACTGTAAAATCTCCAGTCAGAGGTGGTATTTGCTGGTTCTCCGAACTACTCAAAATTTCCACTACCGGTTCTCCAGAACTGGTCAGAACCTGCTGAATATCACCTCTGGTTTGCATCTTTTTTGTATCTGTTTTGTAATTGAAGATAAGGCCACTAGTCTATGATTATACCTTGCTCTTTTAATTCCTGATTTGTTTTTAATTTTCCCAGGGGTCTCCTCTTATAGGCATATTTGGCAATTAGATGGTTTAAGACAAAGCAGTTGTCAATAGTGGGCCAGCTTTGTCTAAAACCTGCTTGTTCCTCTGCAAAGATATGGTTTTCCTTTACTCACATTTCAATTCTATTTAAAAGGAACCTAGCATATATTTTTGTTATAATGTCAATCAGACTGATGGGCTTGTAGTTATAGGATCTTTTTTATTTCCTTTTTTATATATGGTGACAACTATTGCCATCTTCCATCCATCTGGTATATGGCAGGTGTTATTTATATGTGTAAAAAGTCTTGCCAATACTGGACCCCACCAATTGGGAAATTTCTTAAATAATTCTGCTGGTAAAAAATCATCACCTGGGATTTTATTGCTCTTTAAGCTTTTAATGATCTCTTTAAGCTTGTATCTCCTTTTTCCGAGACTGGTGGCCAAGGGGGAAGAGTTCTAGGGTTTGCTGAATCACTGCTTAAAGATAGTTTTTCTATATTTTATAACATAGAATATAAAATAAAGTAACTAAATTACAGTTATTTCGCTTAAGTATGAATTAGTAAAATTATAGTCAAATGATTGTTTAATAATGATATTAGGATATATAATTGTTGATCGATAATATGAGTTATTATGTAACATAATTATTATGATGACTATGAAATGGATGCACAAAAAGGAGTGGTAAACCAACCGATACACTGTCTGTAAATATATGAAGAATGATGATGTTTTTTATGTTATGTTTTATGTTTTATATGTTTTTATTTGTCGTTAAAATCAATAAAAACTTTTATTATATATATATAAAAAAGATAGTTTTTCTACAGGTTCCATGGAAGCAAAGAAACACTGATAATAATTCTCACAATCCTCAGCAGAGATTGGTATATCAAATTTAAATCTCCATTCTTTTAGGACATCTGCTGCAGAGTGCCAAAATATGACTGAGTTATGACTTTTGGCAGCCAACTCGAGTTCTGACCAGATTGAAATGGCAAACTTTTTTCTTTAATTTTATAATTGTTTTATATTCACTTCTTGTGTGCAACATCTCAGCTTGTATATGAGCAGTAGGATTCCTCTGGGAAAGCCTCATGGCTGCCTTCAATTTCCTTTTCAGCTGCTGGCATTCAGGATCAGACCAATGGGGTCTACCCACTCAGGCTCTTTTTGTACAGATGTAGTTGTTAGGTGTTTCTTCAAAATATTACAGAGATTGGAGAATGCGTCGAAGTCTGACAACCAGTCAGTAGTACATGACTGGATTGTTCTAGCCCAGTTGTAGTATTCTCTGCTTTAAGGCAGTCTGATATTGCCTTAGTATCAACTTTAGCCCAAATTAACTTTTTATTTTGGGTCACCTCTACCTTTTTGGTGAGCCATCTGTCAGCCATGTTATATGATCTTAAATCTGAGTGGCCTCGCAATGCCATGCCTACAGGCTGATGATCACTATCATCACTAAAGTGTACCATAACCTCCAAGAAGAGATCGACTTTGTCTCTAGACACACAAGATATCCAGCACACTGCTTGAGTAGGCCAAGTGATATGTGTAAGGATTCTGTTAGAGTTTGCAGAATAAGTTCAAGTCCAGAAAACACACAGATGACTGACTCAGCAGAATCATTAACTTCTTTATAAACATAATAATATGAGTAAAGTTTACAATACCATTTGTAGAGTCTTTCAACGTAACATAAGCAAAAATACAAGCAGCAGTAGCTCAGAGCAGAACTCAGTTTCAGCAAGCAAGCAAGTTAGTTTCAGTTTCAATTCTCAGCAAAGCACACAGAGGCAAACCACACCCAGTCTGTCAGCTCCCATTGGCTAGTCTGTTTGTCATGCTTACTCACTTGCTGACTTCGTTAACCATGTCTCTGCCAGTTAATGAATATACTCTAACAGATACATATAATTCTCATCCTTACCTCCTTACCTCCCAGGACTTTGAGATTACCTTTAAAAATTAAGGAGACTAGAAGACCAGCAGCATTACTTTTGCGGTCTCTCAAGAGCCACTGATGATGGTTATAAAAAAACTCCCTGGGGGTTGATGTTACTGCGAGAATGGCTGGGAAATAGTGGGCTCTGCTGAGTCCCATGAAATCCAGCTGGTAACCACTGTCAGGAGACCCTTTGGGTTCATCCCTGTTTTGGAGGGATGGTGAAGGAAAGAGAGACACGTCATTGACCACGAGGAAACCCGCAATTTCCTCATTAGGTCCAAAGCAAGCGCTCCCCGAATGACAGCAGGAATGACAGCCATTTTGGGGCTGTCATGAAGCAGAGACAATCGGGACCATAAGAATTGTGCTGGAGCGGTGAATGGACAGAGTATTTAAACTGAGTGAGAAATTTACCAACTTTTACCCTAAAGATTGGAAGTAGCAACAAGATTTTAATATCTTGTTGTTACTTCCAATCTTTAGGGTAAAAGTTGATAAATTTCTCTTTTAATAGATAACTCCTAAGCTTAACATAGCGGCGGATAGATGCATGGAGGAAAATAACATGGAAAACAAAGAGGCAAAAGAAGCTTAAGATAAGCTAATAAAACACAGAAAGCTGGGGAAAAGCCTAAACAACTTGAAAAATGATTCTTGGGACAATTTATTTAGATTATTTGTATTTTTAAACCCTTTGGATTTGATTGGTAATTCAGCTGTCTTTGACAGACTATTTAACATTGGATTTGGGCTAAGAGAGCCATCTGCTGCAGGAAAAGCACTTAGCTGCATTTTTTTAAAAAGAAAATTATCTCAATACACACAAAGCTGAATACACAAAATAGAAGCAACAATATCTGGAGGACAGCCTGACCTTGACTTTATTGTTGATGACTTTGGAAGATTTATAAAAGGAACTAACTTGCAAATAACTAAACTCAATTAAATTTGGCTATTGGATTAATCAAGTAGGTTAATTTGGACTTGGACTATTGGACTTAATTTGGACACAATTTGGACTTGGACTTTTAATGTTATTTAATAGAACAGCCTACGAGATAAAAGAAGAAAAGTGTTGGAAGAGAAAAGGACAGATAAATAAGACTTTAAAATTTGGATAATTGTCAGATATACAACTGGGGAAATATAAATTGTAAATCATAAAATAAGGGGTTTTATAAAATGGATTTCCAGGAAACAATAGAGTTTTATGGAGAAATATTGATTATATTAAAAGGTATGCATGAATTTTGGAAAAGCAATAAGGAGACAAAGGGATTGTTTAAAGATACAGAAATAAAGGTACTCAACAATTGGAAAAATTGACACTCAAGAAACTGGTGAAAAAAGAAATAAGGAACCTGATCATATTAAGTACTGGATTATACCAAATCAAATCACTATTTGGGGCCCTTCAGGGCTTCCTGTTATAAAAAGAGGAACACTGTAAGGTGTGGAACATAGCTTAAAAGACTAACCTGGAGCTGTCAAACTCCTGGCCTGCAGGCCAGATGCGTCATGTGCTGGCCACCCCCATGTAATAAGGGTTAACAGAGAGGCAGTTTCTGCAGGCAACACCAGAATGTTTCCTTACTGCCTTCCTTACAGGATTAGGCCAGTAATTTCTTCTAACAACCGGTTCTCCAAACTGCTTAGAATGTAAACAACCGGTTCTAGCGAATAGGCACGAACTGGTAGAATCCCACCCCTGCTTCATTCCCTCAAGCAGCTCTTTCTATAGTTCCCATTAGCATAATTGTACACACTTCTCTTTTCAATCTTTTCCAAGTATCTTGTGATGCCATTTTATACATGACATGCTTGTCTTTCCTTCCTCCTCATATCAGGAGAAGACGAAACAGCCTATAGGTCAGAGGTTCTCAGGCTGGTCTTGTGGTGCAAGAGTCAGAACTTCACCTGAACATCAAAAAGACCAAAGAATTGATAATAGACTTCAGACAATGCAAAGCAGAGCCTCTTCCACTATATATCAATGGAGATTGTGTGGAAAGAGTTCATAGTTTTAAATTTCTAGGAACTCATATTTCCGACAATCTTACTTGGTCAGTCCACACTATGGCCACTGCAAAGAAGGCCCAACAGCGCCTGCATTTCCTGAGGCTGCTGAAAAAGAGTGGTCTGGGTGAGAAGTGGCTGGTTACTTTTTAGCGTTCTACCATCGAGAGCATTTTGGCATACTGTGTAACGGTGTGGTAGTATGCTGGATGCTCTGTAGTAGATAAGAAGATGCTCCAGAGAGTTATAAACACAGCACAAAAAAATCATCGGTTGCTCCCTTTCTTCTTTGGAAGAGATTGCGAAGACCAGACTCCTCTCTAGAGCACTAAAAATCTCCACAGACCGTTCTCATCCTGATCATTCATATTTCGAACTGTTACCATCAGGGAGATGCTCTAGGTGTCTTAAAATGAGGACTAATAGACTGAGAAACAGTTTCTTTTCCAAGGCAATAATTGTCTTGAATCAAACAATGCATATGTGATTTAGCCCTATGTATATAGTGGCATTTTTAAACTATCTAACTTACTATATGTTTTAGATAGGTTTTAGACTAGGTTTTTAATTATTATTTTAATTATTTTAATTTTTAAATACTCTGTAGTGTGATTGTGATGTGGTGTTTGGGACACTGTGCTGGAGTAGCTTTCAAATTTCATTGTACTTGTAGAATGCAATGACAATAAAGGTATACTATTCTATTCTGTTTTGTCCTGTTCTGTTCTGTTCTATTCTATTCTATTCTCTCCTGTTTCTTTTCTTTCTTTCATTTCATACTATTTTTTTCCAAGACCCCTTCTTGACACTACCAAAATTGTCTTACATTCAGAACCTCTCATCACCTCTGCATCATTCAGTATTTGTTTTAGTGCTTTATCATAAATAATCAAATCAACTATGCCTTTAGATTTCTTCCTTTAGTATATGTGGGCAGGGATAAGTTTATTATATGTTTAAAACAACATTCAAAGCACATAGACATTTTTCCTAAGACATATGAAAAATATGGGAGATTGTTGTCACTTGTAGTACACAATCAGTACTTGCCTTTGTAATGTTGCTTGGGCCTCTTGGCAGCCTGCCAGACCAATTCTTGTTTTTTCATAAATTTTGGAGAACCCAAACCAGAACCAACCAGGAGAATGAATGAGTGCCACCACAGTGAAATAGAGACATGAAGCCAACTGCAGGAAAGGAAGTATCTTTACTTATAGGTCAGAAGTGAAGTGACACAGCAATCGGTTCTGGGACAGCTGAGAAAGTGATCTGGAGAGTAGATGGCATTTTTAATATGATTTGGGGGCTTTGAGATTTAGATGTTCAGGTTCATTGCGAAATGAACTTTAATCTGTATAAGAGTGTGTCTTTCAATATTCTAATTGTTTTTGCCTGACTCCTATTGTGGCTGAGAGTTTGTGCCCTATCCTTGGATCTGGGTGGGGAATGTAGATTTTAGGTTTCTTTGTCTCTGCTTTTAATCTGATCAGTTCCATTAAACTTAGCCTCCAGAGAGATTTGCTTGGAGCACTTTCCAATGGTGAAGAGATGTGAATAGTTTGACTTCAGGGAAGACTTCTCTCTTAAGGTGGGTGGGGGTGGAGGCAGCATTTCTTGGGGTGGGATTCAATTTTTTTTACTACAGGTTCTGTGGGCATGGCTTGGTGGGTGTGGCAGGGGAAGGATACTGTAAAATCTCCAGTCAGAGATGGTATTTGTCGGTTCTCTGAACTACTCAAAATTTCCACTACTGGTTCTCCAGAACTGGTCAGAACCTGCTGAATAAAACCTCTGATTTCTTTGCTTATATGGTGGCTTTCTTATATTAAAAGGTGGTGAGGATTCTTCCTACACAACGAGAACCCTTTGATGCTTTTGGAAGTCATGGCTCTTGCTGTAAGAGGCAACTGAGTAATCGTCAGAAAAATCCTACTAGAACTGCTGATCAGAGTTTCTTTAATTGATGGCAGGTTTCTACTGACTACTATTTAACATTAGTTTGAATGTGTTTGGTTAATGCTGAGCACAGCCGCATCCCTACTTTTAAGAGGGTGTGCACATTTATGCAATTTTGTTATTATATTATTTTTTCCACCAAAAGATTCAGCTTGTTTTTCAATTGAATTATACAGGTTATATGTTTTATTAAAGATGAACAGAATTCTAAAGTGATTTATCTTGGTCTGATTTTTTTAAATCTCAAAAGCCTGGCATTTTAATAGTGTAAACTGTTCGAGTTTGTAACAGTTGTGTGTAAAATTTTTATATCCACTGTAATTGTTGCTTGATGTGTATAGATTTTGTATTTTTAATTAATTATATATCTCTATTTGTGATAAGGTAACATATACTTCTTAGAAATAAATGAATTATCATAATAAAATAGACCTGGGAAATAGAAAGACAGCTTTTTTTGCCCTTATGTAGTAAAAGGAAGAGATTTAGTGGTAACCAATACAAAAATAGCCAATAATGGGTCCCTTGTCAGTCAATAGCTGATTTACCACCAGCTTATCAGGTACTTAGCAACCAAGGGAAACAACAGCCAATGACTGAATAGCTTGCCATCAACACCCCAGTCAATAAATAAAAAGCCACACACAACCAGGCACCACATAAAACCTATGCATAAAATAGCCCAAAGCACACATTCTGGTAGACAGAAGTTCCCTGAGGTTGCTGGCTCATATTTAGCTGGTTGTCACAAGCCTGAAAGCTTGGAAGACTAACCTCTGGTCCTGATGATTGATCAGATTGGATCTGGTAAGCAATCGATTTACATTGAATAGCTAAATGCCATTTCTAAGTTATCAAAATTATGCCTTTTTTGTTATTAAAGATTATTGTCAGATGTAATGGATGCTGCCTAGAAAACAGACAAGAGAAGCAGCAAGGGCTTAATGGTCAGAGGAAGAAATTTAGGAAGAGCCTGCCCTGGTCGATCAGATGGTTAAAAGTGATGGTAGAAAATGTATAGTTTCTGTTCATGTAGCCTTATGATAAATTAGCATTAGCTCATTGTTTTTCCTGTCTGTTTACTCAGGAGAGCTGACAAGAAAATCAAATGGTACCTTTGTTATTTTTGGCTTCTGTGTGAATATTGATTTTCAAAATCACTGATGATGTTCTTTTAATACTGCAGTGTACAGACTCAAATTCAAATGTGAGGAAAAGAACAAACACCATAGTACAACCAGATTTGGAGACTGCCAAAAGAATTGACCCAGGAAACAAGTCATTGCCTTCTTCTACATTAACTCAGGGGCCCTTGGACATTATGCCCCGATCGCCTTCAGCTTCAAGTCCAAACCCATTCAGCCGAATTAATATATCAGAAACACTGGCGTCTGCGAGACCAACTCCTTCAGCTCCTCCATCCACCCCAATTTTAACAGGTTACATCACCCAGCAGGATACCATGGAATCCCTGTCAGTTCATCATTTACTTGGATCTAGACTGGAGGAGATTCAGACTACCACAAATGCTTTGGGAGTGCACACAAAATCCCTGGGCCTCAGTTCTCCTGCTCCGTCAGCCTCCAGCTCTGGCACCAGTAAGATAGACAAATATGCACGCATTTTATTTCCTGTCACTTTTGGAGCATTTAACATGGTCTACTGGGTGGTTTATCTTTCCAAGGATACCATGGAAAAAACAAAAAATCTAATGTAGTCCTGCTGCTATGTAGTAACTTCTTTTTCCCCTGCAGTTTATTCTAAACATGTATGGATGCAGAGTTTCTTCTTTTAAAAGTATTTTTTTAAGGAGTCTTAACACTGATTTTATAAACAAAAGCTCTGTGGTCATTTTCCCATGGGGAAGGGAAGGTATTCTTAGATTATTTTAACTCAGCAAAACTTGGGGAGGCCATAAATAGCGTCTTCCAGGCTCTCTACAAAGGGCATTTTGTATGAACAAACTACATTGGGCCATTGGGAAGAAGAGAGGTGGAATATTAAAATCAACTGCAGATGCATACAGATGTGTGAGAAATGCTCTGTTTTTTTTCTAAATTTGTATATTGATAAGTAGATATCTATATTTTCATTATTTAATTTTGCCACTCCAGTTTGAGTTGTGGTACCTGTCACTTGGATGCTCATCCAAATCTTTGTTAGTACAGACCTTCCTTTAACAAATATATTGGTAGCACAATCTCATACCTATCAGTCCAAAAGCGAGCCTCCCTTAGGGCCAATGAGTTTATTTCCCAGTAGGTAAGCAGAGTACTGTGTCAGAATGTTGACTAATTATTTGCTGTCGTTTTTGATTCCTAGCAACCATATAGATTTTCTCCATGAATTGTGTCAAAGAAGAAACAAAAGAATCTTAAGTGATTGTATAAGCACAAAGAATATGAATGTAATTATAAATTTAATATATAGGGATCTTTTGGAATGAAAAGAGTGATCCAAAGAATGTGGTAGATACATTTTATTAAATTGTTTACGCCCATGAACAGGGTTTTTTAAAAGAGGTGGAAAACTATGCAAACCATCATTCGTTAATAGATGCTGGATATGATTTAGTCAAGGATAAGTATTTGGAGAACATATGCTAAACTTGAGGTGTAAAAATGCTTAACTAGGATGAAACTAAACCTTCTCTTATTGAATGGACTCACCTGGGGACTTTACTGAGTAGATAGGACTTACATTACTACATTAAGAACTTTTTAAGTGTATAAGCTGCCAGCCAATGGAACAAAACACTATGTAATATAATGAGTTGTCCTTCCTTAAAGTCTTAAGCCAGGAGCTGGATAGCCATCTGCCAGAGAAACTGTAGAACAGGAGTGTAAAACTCACGGCATCTTGTTGTCATGTGATATATCACAACTTTGTTCCCCTTTACTAAACCAGGGGTGGGGGTGGCCAGCATGTGAAGCATCTGGCCTGCAGACCACGAGTTTGACACCCCTGCCGTAGAGGATCTGTCACTTGGAGTAGATGATCTATAATGTATATTCCAACCCTATGATTCAAGTCCTTTATGTAGGCTTTGAAATACTTGCATTATACTTCCCCAGCCCAATGCTCCTCAGATCACAGAATCAAATATGAGTTGAAAACTGGTTTGGGAACATCTGCTGCAGCCCTTGTATTCCCACAGTCCCCAGTCTATAGACAAGAGGTTGTATAGAAGTTGAAAGTTGGAGGACTCAGACTGGAGAGGACCAAACGAAAGTAATGTACTTAGACTTCCTTTTGTTTTTAGTTTGCAATTGCCAACATAGTAGATGCTTCTCTTGCTTGCCATGCATACATTTCTATTGTGGTTTAGCCTGAATATAAGGCTAAATATATATGGTGAGATTCCTGTTGTAAACTAAGTAGCCTTAGGTACATTTTAATGTAAAATCAGTTGATATGTTAACCATTGTTGTGTTGGATTTGCTTCTTGTAGTTCTTTATCAAGACACACTGCAAACATAACATTTTCTACGCAAAGATTATTACAGTAATCTATGCAGATTATTGGTCTGGCAGTAATCAAAATCTGGGACTAAATAATTGTGATAAAAACATATGAGTAGGCAGTAGAAGCTCCATTGTTTCCAGGCATTAAAAAAAAATCCTGGAGTCTTTCTGCCCATTTCTAACATCAATCAAATGGTGGATAATAAAAGGCCTATGCCAAATGACATCTGCACAGTTTGTCTCTGTATCACTATTTGTCACCACCAAATGGGAAATTTAAAAAAAATCAAAACCTAAAAAGACCAGAAATATGTTCCTACTCCCCCACAAAATAGAAATTCATGAATCTATTCCAGACATTTGCCCTCCTTGCATCACAATGATATTTGCTGCTTCTTTCTCTTTCTTTCTTTCTTTTTTCATTCTTTCCTTTTTCTTTTTCTTTTTCTTTTTCTTTCTCTTTCTCTCTCTCTTTCTCTCTCTCTCTCTCTCTCTCTCTCTCTCTCTCTCTCTCTCTCTCTCTCTCACACACACACACACACACACACACACACAGAGAGAGAGAGAGAGAGAGAGAGATATGAAGACAGAGAGACAGAGACAGAAAATTCAATGTGGCCTCCAGTCACCAACAGTTTGTCTACCCCATATGGAGAACAGGGCTTATTTAGTAATATAAGAGGAAAGCTACTACCGTGTTCCCCCCAAAAAACAAGACCCACCCAGAAAATAAGCCCTATCCTGATCTGCACAGCTGCCTGGCTCACAGGAGGCTTGCGGGAGGCTTGCATGGCGGCACTGGCAGCTGGTGGAGGCAGAGACATGGGGGAGGTAAATAATCCTGATGCCACATGTGGGCACCTGCCCCGGTGTGGCTGGAACAGAGAGAGACAAATGGGAAGGAGTAGGCAGTGTGTTGGGATCGCCTGCCACCTCCCTGTGCCTCCGCCTCCACCTGGCTCTGCAGTGCATTTTTCACCCAGAGGGAGACAAAGTTTCATCTGCTTGCAAATGAAATAGAGCTAATCTCTCTGTTTCAAAGCATCCCATTTGCAAGCAGATGAAATTTCCGGTCTCTGTCATTTCTCCGTCTGGGCAAAAAGTACATCTGCCCTGGAAAGCCCTATAAGCTGTTGTGGCTGTGGGTAAGCAGATGGTGGGAGGGAGTGGGTAGGTGGCCACAAAATAAGACATCCCCCAAAATAAGACCTAACAGGTCTTTTGGTCCAAAAACCCCAATAAGACCAGGTCTTACTTTTGGGGAAACATGGTACAGTAAAGTCAGGGGATCTCTTCAAAGACATTATAATAATGCACTCACTGGTGCAAATATTTTAGATACAAATGTGAGTAATTCTAACGAAATGTCTTTGGACTAGTCCTGCTGGACACCTGCAGACAGTCGGCATTTTTCCTTGATCTTTACTTTAAAAAGGGAAAGATAGGAAAGCAACCCTGCCATGTTTGGTTTGCAGGAAAAAAAATTTTTCCTCCTGTTTCCGTTTGCTGCATTTTTTCTGTCCTTTAATGTTTCTCATGCCCTGGGCTAGGAGTTCCCTCAGAATATTGTTAAATCAAGATGGTATCTGCAAATGGTGTGATCAGAGCTCTACCTGGTTTTTATATGTGTTCCATGCATGACGCATATAAACCAGACTGGAATATTATTTACACATCACGTCTAATTATACCACTGCAGATCTCATCTGGAGTTTTATGGACATACACTGTGCATATTCCTGCTATGGACTTCATGTTTCATTAATTGATTTTCATTGAATGTTGTATTTCTTGTTTCTTTTTATTCTGCCATAAAATGTGGACTTAATTACAGTTTAATTCCAATAAAACATGAAAAGGAAAAGATTGGTAGATATTCTTCCATGCAAACAAAAAGTGCATATGACTAGTATATATCATTCTACTAAAACTGGCATCAAAAGGCAGGTCCATATGTTGCACGAACATTATGCATAGATGAACGCATAGATGTACACATCTCCTTTACAAAGAGTTTAGCAGTTCTTAATTCAACTTTCATGCACAAATAGGCACATATATGTTTGTTTATATATGTCAAAGAAAACACATTCATGTTATTTATGTCTTCCATTGAGGATTCAAGAAACTCTAAAAACAAACGAAAAGGATTTTGACCATACTTTTAAAGAGACGTGGGTCCATTGGATATTAATATTAATTAATTACTATTAATAAATAATAAAATAAATAAAAGCCAGTGCAATTTAAATAAACAATTATTTCTTCCAGCACCAGTTAATTTTGACAGGGAAGAAAATGATTCTTTTGGTAAATGTTAAGCCCTTGCCCTAGGTACTTTTCAAAATGTATGAAATATAGATACAGAAAATGCCTCATTGAAATTATTGACATGAAGATACCAAGAGCAGAAAGACATTGGATTGATATATTTTATAATTATAATTGAAACCAGGATGGCAGTTAACATTTTTGTAGAAATTGGTTGATCTTCCAAACAATCAGCAAAGGTAGAACATTTTAATGAGCCATTTTCATGTTTTGTCTTCTTAGGTGTTTTTTTTTAACAATAATTCCCAAGTGGCTTTCATACATTTGTGGTCCAGGTGGACTTTCAAGCTTGGCATCTGTGACCCTTTTTTCTTATACTGATGAAAGGAATAAAAGTTACCAAAATACCATGTTTCTCATATAAGGCTGGGTCTTATTTTTTTTTGAGCCCCGAAAAAATGGCTAGGCCATCTTTTCGGGGGTGACTTAATTCCCCCCCTTGCATCTTCGGGCGGGCGGGCGAGCAGGCGGCGATGGCTTGGATGTTGACCTGAGCGTTGGTGGGGCACTTCGTATCGGGGTCAACGTAGGCAGCACCATATCCAGGTGTGCAACAAAAGTACTTCCTAACGGCAAGCCCCCCCACCATTGCATGTTTTAATATAGGCCTTAATTTGGGGGGAGGGGCTTAATTTCATTTCATGCCTATAAAACATGCTGGGACTTCCTATTGGGGGAGGCTGTATTGTTGGAGAAACAGGGTAGTAAATAGATATATATCGTGCAAATTATTGTGTTAATCAGAGCTTCTCCTTGGATTAAATCTGACAGTTTTTTGTTGAAATCACCCTCTTCTCCTACTTATCCTTATATGATTCATAATTTGTAAAGTTATAATTGATACAGTCAGGAAACTGATTATTTATGATATAATTTAAGATATGGTGGAAACATACGAAAGAATATCCTGTAGGTAACTGA